TATGCAAGTGAACACTTCCAGGTGGTTTTGCAGATGTCATCTTGAGAATTATCAAGGGCATAAATGCATTCTGATAGTAGTGGCCTTCACATAGGTAGGAGAAAGAGGATCAAAGCACTCACTGAGAATCACGTTCTCCAAAGGAAGCTCAGCAACTGTGTTTCAAGTGCAGTGATATATAAATTACCAGGGCTTCCATATAAGTGAATAAAATTGTAAAAGCAACATTTTTCTCAAAAATTTCTATTTTTAGTTGAAGATGGTTAATGAATTTCTTAGCTTGGATGGAGGTCATCTGGAAGTAGCTTTTTGTATTCCATCCCCTAGAGAATTGCTGATATGTGTAGACAAAGACCACTCACCTTCTTGGAGAATCTTAACTTTAGTCTCTGATTGGCAGAGCCATGAATAAAAGACTTTATATTTCTGTTTTCTAACTCCAATGTGTTCATTCTGGTCAAGTGAACAAATCTTACACTGAATAGATGAAAAACCATTTTGTCTTAGTGTATCCTTTCCAGTATTGCAAAACAGCAATAAAAGGAATATTTTGGAAATTATAAGTATTTATCACCTTCCCTAATATATGCTTCCTGATAATTAAATCAGTCAAAGCAAGTAAAGATAATGCTAACTTCTGGTTTTGCGAGCTGGAGACTTATGGAGTGTAGTATCATTTAAAGGAAATAATACTAGTTGAGAATTTTAGAACATATGATGTAAGTAACCGAAGATGGAGAGGACTCAGTAGGGACAGCCAGGATTTCTTTATGAGTAACAGGCAGAATTAAAGGGAAGAGAGTGAAGTCCATTATTCTGAATGCTTGACCTCCTATTAATGCTATAATATTAAACTTATTTGAAATAAGCAGGTGAAATAAAAGGCAATAACTGTAGATTTGCCTTGGAGATTGAAAGGCAAATGCAAATCTTCTTGAACGTTTAAATTAATAAAAGAATGGCTCTGACCAGATTGTGTACAGACCAGTGGCTCAGAACGAAGCTAGCTGTCTAGGACTGTGGACATCTACATTTGGTTCTGAGCTTTCCTAGTGTCAAAAAAAGGAAAAATGACAGGGTGAAATGGGGACTGACACCAATGCCAGCCTGTATTTTCACAGATTGCTTACTCTTCCGGTGTTGCAAGACACTTGCCCCATCCAACCTTGTGGTAGCTGGGAGGAGAGGTATGTTTTCCTGCAGCACAGCCATCTAGGCGTGCTCTGTTTGTGCGAGGGCTGGCGATGATGCATGTTCTTTCCGGAAGTTTTTAGATCCTTGATAGTTAAAGATAAAGAACAGATTCTTGGCTCTGTTTTATCTTGGAAATATGCCATAAAAATAGATTTGGGCAAGCTATCAACTTCTGGTTCCTAATTATTGGAAACAGAATAACTTTAAGCAGCTTGGAGACTATCTGAAATGACAGAGTCCCTAATAGCATGCTACTACAAGAAAAGACTGAGAGCACCACAAATTTTGTAGAGAGCCCATGTAGATAGATTTGCTGATAGGTCAGTGAGCAGTTGTTTACCCTCCCAGTGACAACTCCAAGCCCAGTCAGCTTTGGTTTTGGAAGAATACTCAAATAAATGTTGGGAATGCACAAAGATTTTAATTTTTGCTTCTGTCCCAGGAGCCTGCCTAACATAACTGTTAGAGCCAGGGGTTACACAGAATACCCTGACTGCATTAAAGTCTCAGCAAAATCACTTTCCAAAGATTTTATTTTACCTTCTATATAACAGACACATGTCTGATAATTGGAGCCTGCTGTAGGAAAAATCAGTAATTTGCACTGAAAGAAAAGAGTAGGGTAACTGTAGGTAAGTAATTTCACTATAAAAATCTCCGTGAGGAAATGCAAGAGAAGGGAGTGAAATGATGCCCCTGCAAGAACACTAAGTGGGAAAATAGACTTACTCCCAAGTGATGTGATCTTAAAAGCAAGTGAGTAACTGGTATGGCACAACTGTGGGCTGAAAAAAAATTAAGGAAGCATCTCAGATCTACCAAAGTACCTTCGGGATGTGTGTGCTTGGGCATTGAGCCACTGTCATCATTCACTCACTTCTGATATACCAAAGATAAGGACTCTAACCTAAACTAAATGTAAAGGGAGAAGTCAGAAAAACTTATCAAAATGCAACTTTGTAGAAAAGAATTAGCTTTTCTTGAGGAAAGAGAAGCCTGAAGAGAGAAACAAAACCTGATTAAAAAAAATCATGTGGAAAGACGTGAAATATAAATCATCTAGAGGAGAAAAAAAAACCTGATGTATTTTACCTGGAGAAAATGATGGCGTTTCCTGTCGAGTTTCTATAGGGAAAGATGCTGCCAAGTGACTGGGCTATAAAATGATATAATGAGAAAGGAGATAGTCCTGAAGACAGAATGAAGGCACTGGGGAGGCTTTCGGTAGAATAGGCTTGTCAAGCTTCTTCTCCAACAAAGATGAAAGATCAAAAGGACTCTGTAGGCTTATTCCTGCAAATTTACTTATTCCTGATTAATTTACCAGGATTTTATCAATATATTCCAGGATGTTGGAGTAGCATTAAAAAAATATGAAAAGTCACAGATAGGAACAAAAGTGGGAAGAGAGACAACTGCATACACTGAATGTTGAAGTTTCCACCTATTTGTTCTATTTAATTTTAATTATTTTTATGCTTTTGGTTCTGGGATCACAAATGTTTGAGAGAGATGTTGATAATCTGTGCTTTTTGGAATGAAGAGTCTGCCGTGCTATGCAATAGAATATTTTATTCCTGTTAATGGAAAACTGATAAAAATTGTTCCTGTTTCCTCATTAACCTACCTGCATATATCACTTTATGGCAAACATACATTTTCTCCTCAAATCATTTTTCTGACCTTACATGTAAAGTAAATACAGATGATCTAAGTGGAGCAGAGAGTGTGTATTTTGAATTACTTATTATTGCTGATCCCTTCCTCTATAAAAGATTTAAGAGGTTTGTTTGTATCTGTGTTTGTTTTACCTTATCCCATTGCCAAAAAAGTGTCATGAGAAAGAAAAGGGACTGCGGCTGAATGCTTTAGAATGGCTTTGTCAGTAATTTACCTTTGGCATAATTTTTGTAATGAAGAAATGCTTAAGGAGTATTAAATGAAACTTGTATTTTCATTCTGAATCATTCATAGTATTGCAGAATACTTAAATAATTTAAAAGACCGAATGCAAATCATAATATGTCCTTAAAAAGCCTAGACAAATGAAGCACATTTGATTAAAAAAAAAAAAAAATAGCTTTCAACATGACAGCCAAACATATCAAATGGTGCATCTCACTTGACATTTTAAAGATGCAATTTAAATTGTTCTAAAAAACTGGCTTACCTTGTTGTGAAGATATGTAAGAATTACCTGTTCCACTCTTTGTCAAAGGCAGATTGTCTTGTGAAATCCAAACCCTTACATTTTTTTGATTGGCTCCATTCATACAAAGTGACAGTATCCAAAGGTTCCCTATAAGTAACAATTTTAATTTTTAAATACAGAAAGAAACAGGAGGGAGACTCTTTGCTACCAGCAACACACAGCTGCTGTCAATGAGTTTTTTCACCTTTAGCTAATAAAACCAAATCTCTCTTGATCTATCTGTAGGTGTATTAGTAACTAAGTACAGTGCTGATATTTACTATATGAAAGAATGAAAATTAACTCAAGAAATAGTATATGACAAAAATGCAAACCAGGACAACACAAAGGGAAGAAATTAATGCTATTTTTAACTGAACTGATAAGGTGAGAAAATGTATATTTTTAAATGGTCTAGCTGATGCTGGACTACATTTATATCAGAAGTCATAAGCCCATATGAGCTGTCATGTTTTGCCAGAATGCTGCTGAAATCAATACCTTAACATTAAACAAAATGGAAACTTGTATTTGTGAAAGCAAGAATATGATTTATTGTTCATAAAACCATCAAATTAGTTTTTAGAATGCCAAAAGTGGCACAGCCAAGTATGGAGGCAGGCGGGGATGTGCTTTGTAAAATTCTTGAGTTCAACAGGATGTTGCTTCCTTCTCATGAACGATGGCCTGTGTTGCACTGCTCATACTGCTGTCTCGTGTCATTAAATCCGATGACCCAATCCAGTGCCTGGCCCTGCTGCACACATTTTTGTGACCCTGAGGAAAATATTTATATTTCTTTTGCTTTGGTTCCTGACTGTAAGAAAGGGAAAATAAGTCTTCCCTTTTCCCCTCCCTGAGTCTCCTTTATTTGTGCAACTCTGGGGCAGAGAGCTATGCCTGATTTATGAAGGATGTTAAAGATGGTGTAATTACTAGCTGCTGATATTTCCCAACTGCATAGAAGTACCTGAGGGGTTGTTTTGTACTGCTCCAGGGGAGCGCAGAAAAGGAGAGTCCCTACTTATGCAAGAAGGGGGTCTTGCCTAGGGAGTTTCCCTGAGGGGGGTAGAGGAGGATGAGTTCCCTGCTCAGGATGGTTTCTGGATCCTACTCGGCACGGGTGGAGATGGTAAGGGTGCAGAAGCAGTGAGTCTGAGAAGGTAGACATCTGATTTGTCGACTTTGCTGCAAACCTCCTCAGCAAGCTCCTCTGGCAAACTTCGTAGGAGGTGACTGGATTCTGACATCTCAGAAGTATTGCTGCATAATTTGCAACACACCTGTTCATCACTCACCTTTAGCCTTGTGTAACGCATCACATTAACACCTTCTGGTAAACCCCACTGGAAGTATTCTGGAATAGCGAGTTGTTAGTATGGGACCGAACACAGTTGCCCAAGGTGATTCACACACAGGGTTTCTGCACCCAAATAATAAGCCTCACATTAGATTTAAAAATTATTCTGTGTCTTAGACCACAGTGGGCAAATAAAAACCAAAAGGATTTCTGTGGGTAACTGGTATGAAACAGAAACAATCTTAGCTTATTTTAGCTGATGCTGATAACTCTTAGTAGTCTGTTTTTGTTAACCACTATAATCAAAATGCCGCCAAATTTGGGGGGACAGTGCTGTGTAGCAGTGCAAGTAATGCAGCTCAGGTCAAATTCAGGGATTTCAGGAGGGCAAGGTAGAGGTGAAAAATTCAGTTTCATCATGTAAAGAGAAAATCATTATTTTGAAGGTTGCCAGATCCTCAATAGTGCAACATATTTTTGATAAAGTTGATGCCTCTTTCAGATACAGAGAAAGAGTCCCATCTCACCCGGTGTTCAGCTGGGCTGAATAGAGCACACCAATGAGTTCTTCCCCAGAAAAAAAAGCAACAATGAAATATTTTGCTGTACATTAAGCTGTTCTGTGTGTCACATGGTGAACTTTGATAGTAGAGTTTCTCAAGGTCTATTGTACAACTTGGTATGCAGTCCCAGCTCCTAAGCAGTCTTTTGTGTGTGTTATTAGTAAAATACATGTTAGCTATTACTGTAACTGGAATTCACAGAAGTGTAATTACCCTGTACGGATAAAAGCTGACAACACTAGTTTGGAAATAGACTTTTGTAGTGGGCTGGGCAAGTTTTTCCACAATCTATTGAAGTAGCCTTGTTAATAGTTCACTGCTGACTGAAGAAATGTCCTCTTCCAGCCAGTGAAGGTTGCCACAGTGGGTGACCAGGGCATTTCTTGAGGCTCAGCAAAGTGCCAGGGCTTGCCATGTGCTCGACTGCACGGTTCCACAGCCACAGAACACAGACCTGGCAAGGGAGGAAGAGTTTAAGGAAATATTTTTCAGCACAATGGGGTATTTTCTTATATCAATATAAATCTTATTTTCTTATATCAATATAAATCTTATTTTTATTTCATGTTAGGTCAAAGCATGAGTTCTAGTAGACTGAGAACATAAAGTATGTGTTTTAAAATGATTTTTTTTTAAAGAATTACTAGTTAGTGGCTAATTATTAAATTTAAAGATGCATTTGCCTTTATGCTCAGACTCCATTAGAATTTTAATATGGATCAGGAGTGCACTTCTGAAGGGAATCTCTCACTCCATTTTCCACACTTACCACACTTTGGTTTACACGACAGAGTGGTGTTTGGACAGCAGCTAGATTCATTTTGGTTAAAACTAAGCCGAGAGGTGTGCTCCAGAAGTGTACCTAATGTACTGCTGATGCCAGTGGGTGCCCGGTCCATGGGATCAGGTTGGGGTCAACCAAGGCAAGTATACTGCTGCGCTCTGAAGAGCTCTTTCTGATGTGCTGTGCTATGTGTTTATGGAGATGTAGGCACATGAAACTGTAATTTTGGAGAAAAACTTGTACCCTTCTTACAAGTGCAGGGCTTCACCCCCATCCCCTCACCCGAATTTCAGATTTGATAACTCTATTCTTTGGGGAAGTCTGGCTGCAGTGCTGAGTTGGTGGGAGTAGCTGTACTCAGTCAAACACCCGGGTACTGCCATGAAATTTGGATTAAGCTCTTATTTTCACTACTTAAACCCACTTGCCTGAAGGGGCATGACACCATGCAAAGATGTTTTGGATATTTTTTCCCTTTTTCCTTTTTTTTTTTTTTTTTTTTTGGTTTGTTGGTTTTTCCCCCCAGACCCACAGAATGGAACATGATTAAATTGTGTACTCACACATTTCCATTTTCCCCAGATATTATTGTGACTTCTTCAGCTCCCATGTAGCCTCTGTGTACATGACCTGGATGCTTTTTCCAGAGAAACTCAACTTTTGAAACGTTCCCAGAAATTTCTGTATCAACGTAGTTCCAGTACGTGTTGCCTGGTTTGAAAGTTCCCCTGTTAAAAGAAAAACATAGAAGTGATGATCTGTGTTTACAAATGAGGAAAAAAATGCTATGGTTTAGGTAGAAATGTGAGATGCTATGACAGTTGAAGCTTTGAATACTATTGTTATAATTTTATTACATTTTTTTTTCAAGAATTACCAATCAGGCATGTTAGGCAAAATTTTAGCTTATAATAGGTTCTTGGAGAATATGTTCCTTGGGGTTCTTGATGTAGATTTGAGGCTTTCAGCTCAGGCAGTAGGGGATCATGTCTCAGGTCTAGAAACACCAAGTTCTGCCCTCTCTGCTGATTAGTCATTCAAGACATGTAGCAAAGTCTTTTATAAAGTCCTTGGACCATAGATTTTTTTTTTTGTACATAAAAATATATGAAATAATTATTTGGACAACATTGTAACAGGACTAAACTTCAGGGAAGATTAAAAAGATACCACAAACCCAAATATATGTAATGCACTTCTCATTTAACCTTTTTTTTGTAAGGATTAGGAAAGAATGTCTCATTGACATTTTGGTTGTTTTTTTCCTCCAAATCTGTATTGCAATTTTTTGCCTTTGCTGAAGCTATTGTGGTGGTTCTGAGGCTACCTCATGTCTCCCAACATGATTTATCATGAATACCTGGACAAAGTTCTGAAGACTAAATGTCAGGTTTTTTCCTCGCTTTGGCTGAAGTCCATGGTGCAGATACCAGCTAGGCAAATTGGTGAAGGCTACAAAGTCTCTGTATGAACCTTACTTGAAAAAGCAGAGCAAACACCATCCCTGCTTATATCGTGAGGTTATTGTGCATCCCACTAAGGTCTTTCAGCCTATCAACCCAATGCATAGGCTTGCTGGTACTTAAGGAGGAGGCAGTTACTCAGAGGGATCTACAGAAGTATGGAAATTACTTGCTTAAATTCCTGTGCCTTTCAGGGTGAAAGCACCAGATTAGTTAGCCCAGCCTTTGTCAGTATTGCCATGGGGTTTATTCTAGATGTTATTTTTGGAAAATGAGTTCTACCTTCAAATAAGTCCAAGTCAAAAGGTTCTCTCGGTGTTTCTGTTTGCTCTCAACCATGAAAAAAATTGAAAAATGTAGTTTACATTTGTGCTTTTCTGTGGTATCAGTGTTCATCATAATGGAATGCACATTACAGTGTGACATGAACACAGAAATTACCAGGAAGTGTATTGTTGCAGTACTATATTTTCAACCAAAGGTACTTCTGGTACAGATCAGTACCAGCACTGTGTTCAAACACAGAAGAGGTTGGTTTTACAATATTTAAACTGTGCTCTTGACAAGGATCAGTTTAGGAGATTTAAATTCAGATTTACTGGAAAAAGCCAGGCTGAATGGACAGGAACCCCATCCTCCAGCACTGTTCATAAGCAAGCTGCAACTTCCCTAGAGGAGGGAATAATTAAATGACTGTACATCATTCAGCTCTGTCTTTTTAGAGGACATCACCAAACAATGTTAGAGTCCAGCAGTAGCCACAGGGCTCATTGCTCTTACCCACTTTGCTATGTTAATTGTCACCCTCAGAAAAGAAAAGAAAATGCGGAAGAATAGAGACCAATCAACAAGGAGAGTTTGACCCCCATCTATAGCATGGGGAACTTCAACCACTTATCAGCTATTTTTATTACCAGTGTTAATCACAGATCACATAAACCAAGATGAGACATGTAAAAATAGCTATGTAAAAATTCAGTATGTTAACAATGATAGAACCATTTTTTCAACAGTCATGTTAAACTTACTTGTCGATTGTATATTTTTTCCTGATCCCATTAGTTCCAGTCAAGGCTACATCTATATCTCCATTCACAGTTTCTGTTGCAGATACTCTGACATGTATCTCTTTTCGCCAGCCTTTGAAAGCAAAATGAAATAGATTATAGTTGTAAGCAGATTTTTTTCCTGATGGTAAAACTTCTCATATGTCTCAGTGTCTTTCAGGGAGAGGAAAGAATTGCAAAAATGTGCTGGTAAGCAAGCAAAATGTCACTCTATTAAGGCAAGTGCTAGTTCTGTGTGATTCTGTTAGTGTTAATTTCCTTGATAGTGTTCTAAATTGCAGATTGAATCTTTGCTGACCTACTGACTAAGCTGCGTATTTAGTCTGCCATGGCCAATACTCTACCTTGCTATTCCACTTGGCCTCATTTTTAATTTTGTAAATTCTTACACTGATGAGCAATTTGGGGGGTCTCATGGGTAGCATGTTAGCTCTGAACTATGAAGTGAGGTCTACTGGTCTGCTGTGTTGTTAAATATTTATTAAGCAAAACTGGCCGCTTTCTCAGGATGATCCCGATATACAGAGTGTTTAGGATTTTTCTTATACCTGCACACAGCCCAACAGCTCTCAGGAGAGCCTGCCATCCCGCATGTCTTTGTAAGGTAGAAGCAGGGTTGCAGATGCAATAGCACATATTGATTTCAAGCAAACAGGTTTGGGAAGTTTTTGTACTGGTTTTATTTCAGGCTGTTAAAAGAAGAATCTCTTCACCCACTTCATAAGGTTATATTTGATTTAAGGCTATAATTACTATAAACACAACAGTTTTTATATGTTGAAATTAATGTGTTCATTCCAATATGAAGAATGTCTAGTTTCTCTATACTCAAATAATTTTTTTTTTATTCATATGAAGATGCAATACAAGATATTTTTTGTTTGTGTTTAATTTTGCTTTCATATTTTAGTGCCTAGAGAATAAGGACTTCAAAGACCCTCTCTCATTTATTACCCTTGCAGTTCATCACCTGATGGATTACAATTTATTTATAAATTTTCTTTTTGTCCAGTTCTGTGTCTGCTTCTACATTAATTACAAATAAAACTATACTTCTTATTACTCCCTGCTATTTTGACTTGATGAGCTTTGCAAAAATATCCTGAAATGATCCAGTTTTATAAATTTTTGCCAGTTAAAACAAAGTAACTTTTTCTGATTTGAAATTTTGAACCTTCAGCATAACATTTCTCCCACTTTCAGCTTTATAAAATTTTTGAAGCCATCATCTAATTAACAAAATTTTAGCAGGGTTTCTAACTCAGAGGTCAGCATCAGTTGATCTGTTTCTATAATTATCTCAGCCTTTCCCAGATAATACTGGTACTGCATGTTCCTAAGACACCTGAAACTCGAGATTTTGTCCTGAGTGCCACTCATTAACTCCAGCAGTTCTCTATAGAAGTGCAAGATATTTGTTCACATGTAATTCATTGCCACTTAGAATTCACCACCCAAAATGAGCACTTACGAGCATATGGAGGGGAGGGCCCTGTGTTTAAATAAACCTTTTGCTGTTCTTTCTCAGTTTTATGTAAAAATGTATCAGCATAGTGACCCATCAGTGGGCATCCTTCCTTTGGACATGGGAAGCAGTCTCCCTGGGGGAAAATAACAATGTGTGTTACAAAATATTATCTGTTTTAATTCCACTTCTTAAAGTTTAAGAAATTAGGGTATTTCAGCTTTTTCCCAGTTTTTTTTCAAAAGGTACTTGCTTCTGAGTTGAGCTCATATCTTCAGTATTTATTAGTGTAGTGAAAAAAGGTGAGATGGTTAGTTTTATTTCATCTGGCTGAAAATCGAAGAGGAACAGGTTGAAAATCTGGCCTAAATCCTTATGCTCTTGCAGACACCATAAGTAAATACCTTAATGCATGTTGTACCTTACTACCTAATCTGTAAAATACAGGTAATATATTAATCTTTCATAGGGTCCATTGAAAGGTTGTCTGCTAATTATTATTAGATGAATAACTGTGTTTTCAAGAAGGTCTGGCTGGTTATCTCACTCATATGGTAAAGATATTTGAGTTTAGGAATACTGAAGCTTGGGGTCTTGCTTTGGGATGTGTTTTGTCTGCTTTTCAGCCTTTATCCCCATGCAGAACCTTAATGAAATTAATCTACCTACATAGATCTATCATTCAGATCAAGACCTTGATGTCCATTTAAAAAAAAAAAAAAAAAAAAAAAAAAAAAAAAAAAAAAGCATGTATATTTTCAGTGACAGTGATTTAGTTCAGCTGGAAAAAAAATAGCATTTTTATATTTAGATAGTTCAATTTTGTTATTTGGGAGGTTCTGTAGGAACTGGTATTTGTAGATCTTTGGGTATTTGGGCATTAGATGAATAAAAGACTAACTGATCATCATCACTTGCTTATTATGAGATTGAAAAAAAACATTCCCCTTGTATCACTAAGTTGCACAGGGTTGAGGTTTTCAAGTGTTGAATTACATCAGACTTTCATGTTACATGGCAACATTGCTACAAACATTAACAAGTTTTCTGCAGTATTGCGATCATTCCTTTTGGGAGCAGATGGAAATAAATTCAGACTTGTCTTCCTCCTTGACCAGTCCTTGGTTGCATTGACAGAACTGGTCCACTAAAAGCTCAGTTATACCAGGCATGAAGCACCAGGACATTATGCTGCCTTCTTCCTTGTGCCAACTGAGGGTTGTGTGAACAATGCTGTACTGTATAAATATCTCCCCTGCCCTATACACTGTGGATGTTTATTGTTTATACAGATGTTTAAACATTTCTGAAATCCAGAGGCTGTCTTCTTGATGATGGATTCCACCAGGTTTAGATGGACTTCAACCAGAGTTTCCTTACTGTTGACTTACACAAAAGATGAATCCAGGCACTGCCTTTCATTACTCACTTACTCAGCTCTTCAACTTTTTTTGGTATTTATATTTACAGCCTTGTTTTCTTCTAGATTTTTTTTTTTTGAGTTTGCTGCTTTTACATTTTGCCTGGTTTTTGGGTATGGTCTGGATGAAGGTAGTCAGTGGGTCTGCACAGCCTCCCCTGTATCCTGTGATCCAGAATACAGAAGATGTCCCAGAATTATTAAGAGAAGGGCAGGGCTATACTCACTTCCATAAATGTGTACCTGATACTTACCAATATGAAAGCTCTGTATGTTTCACACTGATACCCAACAAATCCATTCGGAGTGATAATACTCTCAGCATAATACCGGAGACTTCTTTTATGTCCACATCCAATAGATCTGTATTCTGGGAAAAAGCCCAGGCAAAAAATATTAAAGTTACATGTTAAAATAAAGTTCAGGCCAAAGCAACTCTTGTGGGTTTTTTTTCCTCAAGGCATTTATACATATAGTGACGTCTCAGATTAAAAATTAGTAATAACTAAAAGACGGTTTATAGTAAAATGCTTACTTATGGCCACATATATTTTTCCAATGGGGAAGAGCTAGGTTCTAATGTTTGTGTCCCTGTACTCATGCTGGAGTTAGCAGAGGTGGAGATGCACCAGGGTAGATCTTGTGCAGCCTCCCATCCTGCTACGTATATTTAACTGATTTTACTTTATCATGAGAACCAAAGAGGATTTAGGAGAATTTCCCTTTGGTATTTCAAAGACTGAAATAATTCATAGCTACAGCATATAGTAGTTACTATGAAGTAATTTTCATTTGCTTACCATTATCACAACATGGTATTTAGTAAAACCACACTTTCTACTCATTTCTAGAATTGAAGGTAAGTGTAGTAAATATTTTAACTTCATCAGCTTTCAATGTTTTTAAGCCTTAGAAAACCTTCTGTCATTGGACAGTGGTGATTCTGTGAAATGCTCTGACAAGCAAGATGTTTGACAGTGTGTCCTTGATTTTGTCAGAATTATTTGAAACAAGTACATTTTCCCATCAGAGTGAAATTTCTAAGCAGTCAGGGCAGGAAAGAAGAATGTACTTGGATTATATTTACAGGTCTCTTGTAACAAATATTGTCTTCATTGGCTCTGAAGTCTCCCCTTTATCAAAGCACAATATACTGAAGTTAGGTTGTATAAAAATAGTCTCTACTCTGCTTCAGTGGGTGTGGTCTCACCTAATCACAGCATGAAGTCTTGGAGGCACTGAAGTAATTGCAAGCTGGCACAGTTTGCAGTGAAATCAGAATTACACCTACTGTCAATATTTACGCATCTTAAAGACAGATGAGTTGGTATTGGCCAGTTGACACACATTGTTCTTTACATAAGAAAAGAAAAAAACACACCACAACCCTTGTGAAAAGTAATTTTGTCTGTTTTTCTTGAAAATAATCTGCATCATCAAGGCTTCCTGAGTATGTTTTCTTTATAGCTCCTTTTTAAAATCTGTTTCAGAAGGGTCTGTGCTTTTAACTTTAGAACCTTCAGCCCTTACTGTTGGCTTGCTTTGTGCTAGTGCCAAATTTACTTAACATCTATACAATCGGAACATAATACTTCTCTCCCTACTGATTCAAAAGCTGTAGAAAGAAGTTACTAAATAACATTTATAAAGCACTTCATACATAAAAGCACTACATAAATGTAAATATTATCATACAGAAGAGATATACACAAAGTTTTAACCACGAGGTAGGAGTTAAGGCTGTCTCTATTTTTAGTAGATGAATGAACAACCAACTCCATCTGCTGATGTTCAATAGAGCTGAGCTGCTTCTTCACCACAAAACACTGCAAACAGCCTTGTGAAATGTCTCTGAATTATTTTTTTGTTTGTTTGTTTTTCTGAAAGTGCAGACATTCTTATTCAGTCTGATTGAAAAGTGTTTTGGTTCTAATTGACTTTGTGCACAGCTAGCTTTCAGTCCTCTTTGTTAGTAAGTTCTTCAGCCAGTTCTAACACAGAGCATTTTTGAAAGCCAATTACTTAGCTAGTGGTAGGGATTTCAAAACATTTAGCTGTGAATAACAGATGTTCTCATTTCTGTAGGTTATGATCAGAAGACAGGATTTTGGGGATCTATTGTACTGGATCCCAGGGTAATTCTGATTAACTGCCCAGCTTTCTTTGAAGAAGATGAACTATCAATGGAGCACTCATTTTATCATCTTCTATATTTTTAACCTTGTGCTGTTCCCTTTGAAGACACTAAAGCTGTTAATGGCATAGATGAGTATGTCCAACCCCAGTAATACTGGGACCGATGTCTTTCTAGTGAGAAGAAAAGCTCAGATTTTAAAATAATAATTTTTGGATTATCCTTGAATGAAATTTTACCAGTCCTTCATGTGTGGAATTCCCACTGAGGTCAGTCTGTCAGCACAGTGGCAAGCTCTTATAAAGGTTGTGATGAACAAGTCTGCCTGCTTTAACTGATTTCCACTTGGACTTTGCTTTGGCTAGTATAAAAGAAAATTGGAGGGTATTTCACAGGCAGCTTTAAATCTTCTGTTTTTGAGTATTCTCTCCCTGCTCCAAATCTGAGCTGTATAAAAAATATACACATTCAGAAAGCTTTACTTTAGTCTAGTCTTTATTTCTAACTGTAGCATATAATGAGGTATTACTTAAAAAATATATTTACCTCTCATAAGATCATTGATGTTCCGAGTTGCAGGAGGTACACGAAGCTGCTTGCATCCTGGCATCTTCTTCCCGCCATTTGGGTAAAAATCCAGGTGGCCACAAGTCTGAAGAATTCCTGGAGCTGAAACGACCAATGAATCACGGCTGATCACTCTCAGGTATGGTGTGGCCACTTTCTGTGCTGGTGTCAGCCTTTGTGTGAAAACTTACCAAAGTCAAAGAAAAGATGACCAGCATGAGTATGAATTATATCAACAAATTTTGCGTCTGAAGGATCCAGCCTAACCATTATGGGAGTATATTGGAAAAGGGGCCCAGCTGGATCCAAACCTAAATAGATGGAGAAACATCTGGTTGAGTAAATAATACTATATATATGTCATCACATACAGTGTTTATACATTTCTGCCTTTACTTCAGATGTAAAAAACCATTTGTCCACAGCCAGCAAAATAAGCAGGGCTTTAATAGAAAGGTAGCTGGAGTCATTGGAGTACAGTAAAATGCTGATGGGTGCTTGCCTTACTTTTGGGGAACAATGTTATAAGAAGAGGTTTGGGGTTTTTTTTGCATGTTGGTGTGAAAAATATGAAATCCTGATATGTTATTCTGAGATTGTAGATTTGTTTGAGAATTTTTATTTGGTCAAATATCTATTTTTATTTCCAAAAGAGCTTGGCTGAAAATGTTACCTCTTCACTTCAGTGTCAATGAGCTCTCTTCAGGTCTAAAGCAACACGGTTCTGATCCCAGTTTCCCTGACTTGCTTACTGTGTACACAGCTTAGATGAAGCAATGTTTATGCAGAGAAAAAAACTGACTGAAGGAGAAAGGAAAGCAGAAAATAGTGAGCCTTTTAAAAAAAAATGTGATGTGTGAGTGTGCCACATCATTGCGTCTCTGTGTAGCTATGTGACTAATAGCTTTCTTCCTTTTCAGGGTGTCCATGGCTATTTACTGTCTCATCCTGACATACTAGATCTAGGTGGTTTAATATTTCATTTCAGATTTTCAATCTTTAGAACTGCTGAAAAGTCACATTAGAGGGGGCTTTTAAAGCCAAATATGACAACGAGTTGCTAGTGTTTTACAAGTCTATTATTCCACATGTAATAGAGTATTTTATTCCTATTTTTTATATCATTAGAAATCATAACCAAGTGCTCCCTGGGATTTGTTGTGATCTGTGAAAACTGACCTTTATTTAGCCACAGTTGGGACAGCTAAGCCTTTCTGATCTGTTTCAGTCAATCTTTCCCAGAGCTGTGAACATTGACATGTGAAATGCATGGTATGTGATAGGTCATGGCTTTGTTCATGTGTCACCATGCTAGCTATATACTATTAATTATGACCAACCAGCACATTGTGTTCTCTATTGTGTGTTTATGAGGCAGCAGTGATTCTTCAGTTCTCTTAAATTGCGTGAAAATACAAAGATTCATCAGCTGAAATAGCTTCAGTACCTGTTATTCTTCCAATGCCAGGCTTCCTTCTCCCTGCCTCCCCTGCAGCATGTGCTCCCAGACTATGGCCAATGAAATGGATGTTGGCAGGAGAGTAGCCATAGTCTTTCTGTGAAGACGTATGGAAAGAAAAAAACAAGCACGTTAAGTGGGGGGATACAATCCTGTGGCACTGCATCATGGCCCCATGCTATGCCAGGACATGGCCAGACCAGCAGGTGTTGCAGGGGAGTGTCTTGGGTGGGAAGTTACTGTTGCAGATGGTGGGGTCCGTGCCTAAAGAGAAGCAGTTCCCAGCTCATCCCATCCCCTCTTATATTGCACCTCTGAAAGGGAATAATCTCTGTCAGAAATTGGCCCTTGTGACAGAAAAGAAGGAAAAGGGAATTTCTGCACATAGCTCCCTTACATTTGCACTGATTGCTTATCCAAAAGGCAAACTGCCTCACTGCTTCACCCCTGAACCTGTCTGGACAGGATAGCAGTCTGTGGTAGAGGAGTATTCAGTGCCTGTGCCTGTGGCATACCCTCTGCGTGAATCGAGCTGCTGTCCTGCTGTGGAGGTTCTTCACCACGCAGGTCCCAGAGGAAAGGGAGGACCACGCCAGGAGCACTGCTGGTGTGCCGGGCTCAGCTGAGCTTCTGCACGGGGAAGCCTGACACTGGTGGCTGCAGCAGAGTCGCTTCCCTGTGCTGTGATTCAGTTTTTGCGGGAGGCAGCATGTGCGACCCACAGAGGGTCCTGTTACCACCCTTCACCCTGCCAGTTTTACTATACACTCTCCAATCTGATACTTGAAGAAAAAAGTTCATAAACTGTAGCTTGTAAGCCTTTAGGGGCATGCTTATCTGTGGTCTGACACTAAAGTAAGTGTTTCCATTTGTGCAGGATTAGAGACTTTCAATGACATTTTCAGCTGCATTATTGAATACCTCTGTACTTCCTGACTCTATTGTGTCAAACCTAAAGGTGCCACCCTGAACATGGCCTTTACCATACAATATATGCACAGGGTTTCATGTTCCACAGATACTTTTACCTCAAGAAGGTCCACCAGATATACCAGCTCAGCCCCCACAATGCGAACGTTGTTAACTGCATCAGTGTACAAACCACTGGAGCCACCTCTCCAGTCAGTCAAAATGCAGTTCACATCTTCAGTGTGAAACATGAACTGGTAGAAAACATGAAAACAGAGGATCAGAGGCTAACAGGCATGAATTACAATTTTGGTAGGATATATGCAAACAATATTTTGCTTTGCATATACAAACAATATTTTGTTTTGCTTTGCATATACAAACAATATTTTGTTTTGCTATAGCCAGGGACTCACTTTGTTTATGTCACTGGTAAAGACACAGCTTCAGTGTATTAATTCCTAGTAATACTAAGGAATCAACACAAGGAGGCAGAGTGGAGGAAGTGATTTGAATACTTTATAAAGACAGAGAAACTTGCTTCAGTTCTGTTTTCCATTCCAGATGCTTTGGTTGGCTTTAGGGTATCAACTTCTCTTTATGATAGTACCTCAGTTAGAAAAAGAGGATAATATGACTTCTTTTTTCATCGTCCAAGCCTTGTTCTTCAAAATTGATATGCTTGGATCATTTAAAGATTCGTAAATTTGTGTTCATGTGCTTGAATTGTTCAATCCCAAAGTTCATATATTTTAACCAAGATATTCTATTTATACACTTCTGGCAATGGAACATTCTGATTTTTCATTCTGAAACAATTTCATTTTTTGAAATGTGCCTAAACAAAATGAAACCAATCTGCTGAACAAAGCATTTTGGTTTTATTAGATTAGATGCCTCCCTCAAACTAAAATGTTTATTTTGACCTTTTGCTGAGGTGAAAAAAGTGACTTTTTTTCTCCTTTATTATTGACAATGAATTGAAAAATCAATTAATTATAGGTTTCTCTGTGGAGGTGAATGCAGCAAAAGGGCATTTAGCAGAAGGCTGAAGTGCATTATACTCATAGCTAGGAACAAGAGGGCAGTCTTGTAGAACTGAGCTTCATTCCAAGGTTTTTTCCTCTCATATTTTCCCTGAATTAACAAGAGAACAGAGGTGCAAATTTTATGTGGGAATTTTAAGCCAGTTAATAGGATGATGTGGATATTTGCACTTTCAAAGACAAGTAAAATGACTGTCATACAAAAGTCATACCATACCCTGCATATATTTGTTATCCAGGGGAGGTCTGCTCCAGCAAGATGGCCGTGTATAATGAAGCGAGTTTTCCTGTGTGTTCGGAAATTTGAAGCTTTGATAGTTGAAGGATTTGTAGCAGAAATTTTCTGTGTCAAAAAAAAACGACCAAGAAGCAACACAACAAAGCTGTGACAGCTCCAGCCCAGTGTACATTTTGATGCAGGGCAGAGTACACCAATGGTTAAGGCACAGTTCTGGACTCTGAAGAGATGGGTCTTGTTCCTCACTTGTAAACTGCCTTGCTGGATGATATCAATTAATCACTTCAACAAATGATTCACCTCCTCTAGTTAATTGAAGTAATGATACTGGCATCCTTTGCACAATGCTTTGAGATATACTGGTACAACGTGCCATGTAAATACAAGATTTTATCAAACTTGGCCATAGAAATACAAAGATAGCATCTTCTGCAAGGTATTATGTGGTTGATGTTGAATCTATACCTATTTTACAATTTTTTCTTTCTATTTTCTTTGAATACAAGATAATAATCACTAAGCTTATTTGTATTTTATGAGAAAGACCACCAAGTTTACAACATCAGAGGTTGTAGGTATTGGGATTTATTGAGAAGGAAGGCATTATTCTCTTTTAAAGAAATACTGAATACTGTGTTGTTTTAAATCTTGGCTCTTATTTTTTGTTACATTTTCACAAGCTTGAAGGGGGATTTCATGCACCAATTAGCACACATCTCACCTTCAGTGAAAGACTGATTGAAGTTAAAACCTAATAGGTCCTCTAAGCTAGAGATGTTGGACTTGTTCTAAGGTGACTGGAACAGGAGAAATCATTAAACAGCTCTACTGTTTGTGACTGTTATTTATATATAAAAAAGAACAACTGTGAAGTCTTTTTCATGTAATGTAAGCTGACAACAGCAACAAATTCCACACCCCCACTCTCCCACTTTTCATACTAATTTGCTAAATTTTTCTTGCTCTTTGTCCAAGTAAAATTCATACACTCTGATGGTCATTTCTCTTATTTCACCAGACCAGTCCATAGCTCCACTAAACTGCTTCACACTGTGGATGAGCCCAGCCCCGACACCTCCAACACCTTGAACATTCTGCTGTGAGCTCTTCCCAGTACTTGCTGATCTTCAGAGGAGAGGGCTGACACATTGCTGGTGTCTCTCAGTACGTTCCCACTTGATCCATCCTAAACAGTGCTGCAGGCTCCTTTTAGCTACTTCCATTTGTCACTCTGTCACAGTCCAGAGCTTCCTCTTGTTACCACTAACTTGAAGGTTTAGATAACCTCACCTTTTAATTTTTTTTTTCTTCCATACAACTCCATAGTCTGCTGTCTCTACTCTTCTCTACCTGGTGTGTCTTCAGGAGGGATAACCTGGTTCAGCTCTCTGTAAGAGAACCTCTGAGACTTTCTCTTTAGTTTTTTAGTCTCCATTTTCCCTCAGTCCCAGTCTTCCAAAAAATGGTAAATATTTGTTTGTTTTCTTTATTCATCCCTATTTAATTATCTTTTTGTTTGTTTCCTTCTTTTTCCACATATGATTCCATTATCTCCTTCATTTCTTTAGTCTCCTGTTCACATTTCTAATCTTCCCTTTATTTTTTCATCCTGTTTTCTTTCCTCTCTCTGGTGAAAATGGATACTTTCTCTTCTAATCTTCACTTTTAACTATCTATCTGCTCTTAGGGCTCAGCATTGGCCATCACATAAACAGAGCCTCTGAGACCTGGTGTATGTAACTCAGGGGACCTAGTAATCATGTGTATGAACCACATCCTCAAGTCATGTGAATGAGCCTGAAACGTTTTTAATCTGAAGACACACAGGAGCCAAAATTGAGCTTTCCTTTTGTACTGCCTTCCCCACCTCTGGTTTTATAATGCTAAACCTGAAACTGAATTGGGGCCATTAGCTTACTGTGGAAAAGTATGTAAAATATGTCTAAAATATCTCAGATGACCTGTGTTAGAAGGCTGTGTTTAATATGTTGTAAGTATACCTGGATCACCAGATCACTGAAATGAGGAAAAAGAAAACAGATGAAAGAAAATTATGAGAGTCTGTTTGTGTGTAATATAGAACAGGGGCTTCTCCCAGGAGACTTATGAACAAAAATATGGGAGAAAAGAAACTGTCTGTTTAATTTGTTGAATGTGTTGTAAACTGTCAGTGTTTAAAAACAAAGCAGTTTCTTACTTGATATTTTATGGTGTTGTCTCTAGTATAAAGAAGGAAATTGGTGTTCACATCTTCTGGAGAGCTGGGCAAACCTGCCAGTTGTCTCCCTGGGATCCCAGACCAAGGAGGGCTATCAGTAAAGCATCCAAGCCTTTTGTAGCAAACTTCCCTTCCTGGGGTATGCAAAGAAAAATGTTAGTGTTCTGGGAACGTAGCAGGTTAGGCTGCCACCAATTTACAAGAAGCTGGCAGGATAGTGTTTATACCAGGGAAGCAGAAAATGGCTGATTGTGATGGCACTTGTGTTAATTTTTCATTAAGGGGCTCAGTTGTTCTCTTGTGCCTTCTGCATGTAGCAGGGACTTGAACTGCAAGACTGATTCCTGCTGCTCACATAGCATAGATCCCGTCTTGATCAACTCAGGAGAGTGCAGGATGTGTTTGGTCAAACATATTGTTAACACAGCTGTCAGAAAAAGACAATAAAATCTTGATCCTTTATGGTTCCAGAGAACAAACGAGCTTTTGCTGGCAGCACAGAGCAGTCTTTTAAATTAGTCCTAATGCTCCAGGGATTATCTAAATTGTTCTTTCTTGTGCAACAACTTATGAAGGAGTAAAAAGAAACAAAAACATTAAAATATATAACCTCTGGTTGCTCCACAATGTACATTAAACATCTCCCTTATTTTTTATCACCATAAGATTTTAATGGAAGCAATAAAGTGGCATTTGAGTGGAAGCCTAGGGCAAAGCACAGCCTCAGGAAGTGTGGTCTGTGCCTGAAGAACTAGAGTTTCCCAATTTCTATTGTGGCTTTAATACAGTATTGATGCAAATATGACATACGGGTGTTGCCATTAAATGTCATCTTTACCCATTATTGTAGCACAATAGTTGTGAAATCCCAAATATTTTTTATTGCTCTTAAAAAGATACTGAAAACAATGAGAAACCATTGATACCTAGGATAGGCGACAGATTCACAGTACATCAGACTGTGACTTATTCTATTTGTTATGCTGTATGAAATGCAGGGGTAGAGTGATATATACTGGAAATACATCTAGAGGAAGAGAAGATTTTATTGTGGAGCTGCAGCTAGAGACTCCAAAAGTGACCCAGTCATTTTCAGAGGGGTTTTCCCTCTCATGCCAGTAAACTTTTGGACTGTGTCTTCTTGTTTCTCTCTGCTCTTTCTGTCTGTCCATTCCTATCGAACTATTCTTTCTTCTCTGTAAATAAGTATTTTGGGACAGGACTATTTTCTTGTGCTCTACGTAGCACTGTGAAGAGTAAGTGCCTAGGCTGGCATTACAAGTGTTGTACCTACCATAAATGATGGTGTAGGTTGAGGGTTGGTAGGGGAAACTATTCTGGAAGAATTTTAGTATCAATTAGTCTACAAAAATACCTTTCTAATTCCCATTCTCTTTGTTAGCTGAAAAAAGCTTTACAGATTTAAAAAGTAAAAGGTTAAATGTGGGAAAGACATGACATAGCTCAGTGCTCCTAATGAAGAAGTACGTTAAATCTGTTCCAAAGTTCAACCTTTTTCTAAAATACAGATATTCTTGTGTAAACTGCACACAGCAATTTTTACTGTTTATAGATTTTATCAATTATGTGTCTTACCTCTGGCTGCATCAAGAAGAAAAAGAGTAGTGATCCACACTGCAAACATCTAAAGCAAATGAGAACACCATTCAAACATAAATAGAATCTGGAATTCACCTAAGAGCTTCTTTGACTCATTAAAAATGTCACAGTGGCCATAGGAGTACTTCAGGCATTTAATGAGTTGGATCAAAAAGAATCCTTAAAAATAGCAAGGTTTCAGGAAAACACTTTCAGGATTCTTTCTGTTTGCCATGGATATTTTACATATGCAGGATATCCTCTAAGCATCTCTTGAAGATTGTCCTCCTGACCTTGAAAAACAGAAGCTTTTTTTTTTTTTTTCTCTCTAGAGCTGCAATTTATGGGCAAGCAAATAAAATTCCTAAAGGATTTGCAACAACATATTTTTACAGAGTGAAGTTTCTTCTAGAATTTAATAGAAAAGTTTTACTCAGCTATTCAGTGATTGTACTTAAAAGAACAGAGGAACAAACTTAATTTGTGTTTCTAAATCATATAGATAGTCTTGAAAACTCATTTTGATCATTGCTATGAGCCATGTATACTTATCAGTCTGACCTGCTTGATCATTTAATCACTAGCTGGTAGGTAAGCATCTGAGTTAATGGAACCAGTCATGTACTTTGAGGTGAAGTAGGGAAAGCCTTTTAAGTGTAGTCTCACTACTGCTAGTAGTAACTTACCTTAAAAAGAAAGAAGATAATTCTTAAAAAACTCTACTATCAGGCCCTGATCCTTTGATGAGTCCTTCACAGGTAAAGCCCTGCAAACCCTTTCTGACCTCCCCACCTCCGGTCTCCCCAGTCCCATGAAGTCCATAATACACTGTTAGGAGCAAAGAATTCATCCGTGTTCACATCTTTGTGAACATCCTTTCAGGTTCAGTCATGTCCTGCTTCCATCACCTCTTCTCCAGCCACTCACCAAATACCCCACGCCTTATCACAATGCACCTTATTTCAGTTCCTCAGATATTCCTGGTCCAGTGTACCCCATTTTACCTTGGCAAAGCTCAGAGCAAGTTCTCTGGGTCCACCTCTCAGTTGATTGTGGCAAGCCTTGCAGAAGCTCTTTGATGAGCCTGGAATGGAGCAGGATAGCTCTGTGCCTGCGCTCTGAGGACATGTGGCGGAGGGACACTCACCCCACCGCTGCTCCACAACACTTGAGTTCCCAGCTGCATCCGTGACTTTGTTGGTTAGCGCAGAAAGAGATCTCCTCCTGTCAGGCATGCTTCATCTGAGATAACATGAACCAGGTCAGACCAGTTGCTAAGTGACTCCACCTGTTTTATGCAAAGTTTCAAACAGGGTGTTATTGTCATTCACTGGTAATTATTTTTAAAGCTAAAAAGTGCTGGGAAGTGTGATGTAAACACTGAACAAACACACAGCCTTTCAGGATCAGGAAAAAGGCTCTTACCATCGGCTGGGCCGCTCACCTCTGTGTGATGCTGAGTTGGGATTCAAGTGATTTAGCATCACACCAGAAGGCTGTATCAAAGTCTCAATATTTTGGGTCCTACTCCAGAGTTTTAATAGCAAAACCATCCTTCCTGGAGCTGATCCTTGCCTTAAATAATTTACAGTTTTATGCAAAATTTTCAAATTCATATTTGATAGTTAAGTCTACCATTACAACATCAAGACACAAACAAGGTGTTTTGGGATGAGCTAACATGTATGTTCACAAGATTTAAGCTTTTACCTGAGAAAAGGTAGAAAGGAAAGAGAAGGATGAAAAAAAGTTTTTAAAATTAAATTGCTCAGTCTATCATCTCTTATTTGTTCATCTTGTAGTTTTTCCGTTTGTAATTTTGCTAGTGGATGAGTTACCTCACTTTTCTTTGAAAAGATGACAGAAATGCTTTTAAACAGAGGAGAGTAGTTCCTTGGGCAGATTGTCACCACATCCAATCACCATGAATCTTCGTAATTAAATTGTATTAATGGCAGTAATTTTAGTTTTTAGTGTTTTGATAATTATGTCTTTTCACACAGCACTATATTGTTGTCATATTGTTATACTAACATTTCTGATCAGGCTTTCCTAGAAATCTTTGTTCCTGTATGTGGGTCTTTTCCAACCTAAATGATTCTATGATTCTATGTAGACACAACTGAGAAACTCGCACCTCAACATTTTAATGTTAAACCCTTTAAGTATATTGTGTGACTTTGGACACCTCCTAAGCCAAGGGTGTACAGAAAGGGGAGACTCCCTTTTGTTATAATCCTTTCCACTGACTGATGACTTATCTTATATCTAGCACATACAAATATGAACTGGGTTAAAGTGATTCTTAAGAATGCTAGGTGTAAAAACATCTCCAGATTTTTTTTTTCTTTTCCCTTAACTAGCCTTGAAAAAGAAATTTCTTCACATGCAGATTGTAGAAGGAATTAGATCCTCCATCTCTGGGCTCCATAACCCTATCAGAAAATTAAGAAGGAAGGTCAGTGTGTAGCTCAGGGAATTTTTTTTTTTTTTTTTTTTTTTTTTTTTCTTCAGGACTAAGGTAGTCCAGTAAAGTGCTGAATTATTCACATTAAAATTAATTTGATTTATCTTCTGCTCACATAATTAAAGACTATCATTAGGACACAAATTGGTCAGTTAACCAGTCACTAATAGAATTCAGCAAACAAGAGTCCTGAGTGGGTGTTTGGAATGAAAAGAAGCACATCAGGTGCTCAGATCTGTGATATGGTATCACATTCAAAGGAAGTGGATACTTGTTTTTTTTTTTTTTTATATCTCTAACAGTTTATAGACAAACTCAGAAAGGCCTATTAATTAGAATGGAAGGTCCCACATAAAATTGGAATCTAATATGCATTAACTGCTTTTGATTTAATTCTGTTATATATAGTATTGGACCAAAACCTCACTTTGTTCTATCCTCACAGTTTCTTCTCACTTCAGAAGGAGAGTTTACTGCAGAAACAGGTCACACAAATTTTTAAATTAATGTAGTTGATTCAATACTTTATACTTGTTAATTTAAATTAATAGATTTTACCTCAGGGGAACTCAAGAAATCAGTATTACCCATTATATTAATAAGCCTTTCTGGAACCTGGTATTATAGTCCCAAACCGTACCTCAACCTTCTGCTGCAACACAAACTTCCATAGCAGTCTGGTGGTAAAGTTTTCAAATCACTTACAAGATTCAGTGATGCTGCCAAGTTAAAATTATAATGGCAACATATTTAAGGGCTTTTGATTTTACCTATGATGAGACCATCATATATTGAGCATCAATTGGAACTTAATTTCTATAGGATTTTCTCAGAACACACAAAATTATTATGTAGTGACATTCATTCTGCCTTTCAGCAGTCAGTGAGACACCACAGCTCTCCTTCAGTGTTTAAGAGAAGGTTACTTGGAGATCAGGGCATCTTCATATTTGTAATGAATTAGTCAGAGGATTTACTCCAGCAGACAAGCATGAAATGGGTTTTGTATGCTAGTTGACTAATACCAGGAAAGCTCTCAGCTCAGGAACATTGTTAGATGTCAGCACTTCCATGTTGACTTCTAGAAAACTTCTTGCTTTAATGGGGTTAAGTACTTCAGTATTATTTGGGACCTGTGTAGGAAGTAGCAAGCCACAAAGGGCTGACTCTCCATCCTTTAGAAGTTCTTGAGAGTTTCTCTTCCATGAACTTGTTCAAGCTGTCCCTGAAATCATGCACGATTCTAGCACACCCAGCACCCTGTATCAAACACATTGTAATTATGCAACTGTGAGAAGAATCATCTTTTGTTTATCTTGAGGTGTGCAACTGCCACCTTCATTTCACGCCCCACCGTTACTAGTGTAGAAGGAAATTAAAAAGTAATTTTGAATTTGTCTTCTCCATGATTCTCTTCATATTATAAACCACATTCCCACCTCAATATCTTTTCTGGGCTGACTTCTGTTTTTCCCTTATATGCTAGAGGAGATGGGAAAATGACTGCTTTTTCCATTTGGCTGGAGTAGATGAACATATCTTTTGCCCTCTGTTACCAAAACCAGTAAGGAAAATTCTTTCTGTCCTGAAGTTTTGTCAATTAATATGTTTTTTCTTGAGGGATGAAGTGGCCAAAGGTGGAAGAAAGTTCTTTCTGCAGCTCAAACACAGACTTGTGCATTCTCTCCTAAAAGCTCCCTTCTATAGCAACATCTGTAAGAGAGGAACTTAAGCGATGAGATACAGTGCACAGAATATGATAAAAAAATTGGACTCTTATGGATAATTCATTTAAATTATTGTGTAGGGCTGTTTATGCTATTTTTGCTATTTTTTGGTTTTGGTTGGTTGGTTTTGGTTTTGGTTGTGGTTTTGTTTTTTTTTTTGTTTTTTTTTTTTTTTTTGTTGTTGGTTGGTTGGTTTTTCTTTTTGTCCTTTAATTGTAATTGCACCCACTTGTCATATCTTAACCTGGAGATTAAGCTTTCTGGGCAGGGACCTACCTATCTACCTACCAGTGCACATTGTGGGGTGTGTAATTCAGTTTTGGGTAGTATATGAATAATTTTTATTATAAATGGTAACAGTAAGGTAGAGGTCACCTTTCCCAGCACATCAATTGTAAGGCCTTCCATAAGAAAGTAGCACTTTTGAATACAAAACCTTAAATACTAGCAAGGATTTTTCTATTCTTTCCAGTCTGCTTGGCTGCTGAAATAAATATGAATGGATTATTATTCTTTTTATCTGCTATTCCTTCATTACGAACAAGCTTCTAATACTTTTGTTGATGCCAATCCCAATGGGGATCACTCACAGAATAAAATACTTCTTAGCTAAAGAGAGAGCACCAAATGTTAAGTTCCACTTGCTTTGTATTTTAATATAATTTAAACTAACAGTTGTTGCATGACTTATTTGTACTTCCCATGGATGCTTTTTCCTTGTACTTCTTGAGGTGAGCCTGGAGATACCATGAGATTTGATCTGTAGTTCTCCTGACTGTTTTGTCCTAGAAATTTAGATTTTGTCCTAGAAATCTAGATTTTGTACTAGAAAGTTAGATTTTACTTCAAGAAAAGACAATTAAATACCATATAAAATGGATTTCACAGATTAATAAGAAAGCATGGAATAAAGATTCTAATCATAGCAGTTTTTCACAGCCCTGTAGAAGACTGTGGTAAATGAATTGTAATTGTTCATGATGAATTTTGTTATATGGTATAAAGATTATAGGCAGTGGTGGGATAGAAGCTCTATCTGAAAGTCTTTGATTTCATATTTCTGAATTAAAGCTGGTGGTTATTAGTAAAAATGGAAACCATCCTTTATGAGATAATTAGGATAAATCCCTATCTGGTAGCATAATTACTAAAACACTATAACTTTAAAAGCACTACAATTTTTTTTTTAGTTGCTGCCTCTGAAATTAAAGAAGACATTTTGTATTGAATCAGTACCATCAGGTTATGCGATGGCCGAATTCTTTTCTCTATGTTGATAAAATTATTTAATGTTTTTATTTATGAAAGATAAGACTAAAGATAGAGACATAGACATTCTACATATTCTAGTCCCTCACAAGATTTCCTCTGTATTTAAATCTTAATCAGATTTTAATATCCTCTATGTCATTTTTCTCAAACCGTTAAATGACTATAATTGTCAGAGCAGAACGCTACATGTTTAAAAATGGATGATAAAGTCACTAGAATGATATTAATTTATACAAGCTGTTAGCTGCTCTTAAATAGAAACATCTAATAAAATAGTGAAGTGTATTCATATTGGGCCTTTGATGCGATATGTGGCCTGGCTTATGTGGGTTTAGTTGTTATTTTGCAAACGCTGGTTCTGTTCCATCCCATTTCCTTTAACTTCAGTTGAGTGCAGGAGGTTTACATCAAGGTGCTGTTATGTTTATGTCACTACCTTTAGGTTTTTAAACTACTTGTGGTGTGGCAACATGTCTAATAGTTTAATAAAGCTGCATATTGTTTCCGTAGTATCCTCTACACTTGCAGCCTGACCACAGGTTTATGTTTGTCCCTGATTTGTGTCTTGTCTGGAGAGGAGGTTTGAATTTGGAGCTGTGCACCTAAGGCACATGATGATCTATAGATTTATTCCTCAGAAGGACCCTTGGAAGGGGCTGACAGAAGGAGAAGCAGTACATGGATGCTTCCCGAGGTCTGCTTGGTGCCTCTCACCACCTTTGTCACTC